CCCCCCCCCCCCCCCCAACACCTCCTTCTCCTCTTCCAGGTCCATTATGAGGGACGGGAAGACTTCAGTTATTGCAATCAACTACTGAAAGTAGTCACTAAATTGCAGAACTATCTATGGAGACTAAACTAGTTTTTCTGAGTAAAAGGGGATGAATCAGACTCTGATGTTGGAGGGGGTTGTACTTGAAAAGGAAGGGGAGCGGTCATGCTGAACTATCGATTGTCCTTGCCGCCATGACGTGTCCTGACTCCAAAAAAGAACCAGCTATGCTGCACGAGTCAGTGATGAGCTGGACCATAGGGAAACGGAAAAATCTCTCACGGGATGGAGATATTTGACTCGAAAACTCTGGCGCTGGACCTATAAAACACGGCATTTTGGCGCATATCGTCCAAGGCAGAGCCACTAAGCATAAACTTCTTCTCTTATGAACAGCCGCAAAAAAAACTCTCCAAGGTTTCCGCATAAACTTGATAGAGCTCCTCCCTACTCAAGATTCAAGGTGAGGCGGAAAAGCTCTCCCTCTAGCTCTTTAGGGTTCCTTTGCACCATGAAGTACTAAGCCCCTTTCACCTGAGGGAGACGAAGAGATAGCTTGGAGGGACAGTTCATGAGATGCCGCTGCTTTAAAAAACTCCTTGTGTTTTGGAAGGCCCTTGCTATTGGCCATGTTCCGCTTGGGAGGGGCATTTTACTTCTGCTAGCTCCTTCTGCTAGTTATTGTCAAATTACACATGGCACCTTGATGGGTCCTGGAATGTATTGTCAAGTGTGATCAACTCTCCTGCTAATGCACAGCTTCGCAGGAATTTACAGGTCTCTGCAAGAAGCATCTCCAATGATCGATGGGAACCAGCAAAATGCCCCCACCAGGCCGAACTGCGCCACGTTGTTTAACGAGCTGTAGAACCAGGGTGTCCCGGGATAATGGTATAGCGCTGGAAATTTTGCTCAAAAGTCCATTCAAGACGGCTCAGTACCATGACTTATGCTGAGTGGCAGCTGACCCTGAGGTGAGGTGCAGCTTAGAGGGTTGTGGAGAAAGCTCGTTATGCCACTTTGAGCCTCCCCGGGTAGCGATTAGCCAGGTGACCCGAGCTATGCACTGACCGTGCTCTGATGACGTAATTTTATTACGAGGCTAAGGTGAATGGCTGGTACCAGATGTTCGGTCGAAGCTCGCGCTGGCCACTCTTCCCGTTCGCACATCAATAATCATTGGCTGTTTCGACAGCAGCTATCCACTGACGTTTTTTCTTAGGTCCTAAAAACTCAAAATACCAGGGAGGTCCAGCAGCGGACTTCATTAAGAGGCCAGAACGGATTCAAGAGGGGTGAGGACAGCAAAAACACCCTGATTAGATAAGAAGGTCCGTCGCAGCTCGTGCTAACGGGTGAGTCTCGTGGGAATCTGCGCACTTGCGAGGAAATGCATTCGCAGAGTGTCGATGACAAATTTATAGCGGAGCTGAAGCCTAGTAGGGGCAAGTGAGGGGTAAGCACTAATCATCGGAAATAAAAGGGTATCAAAAAGAGAATGATGGAGTGGCAAGGGGTGCTACGTATTTCGTGAACCGCTCACGAGATCAAGCCTCGTCTAGGTGAGCACAGGTCTCCTTTTCCCATAATAGTTGCTTCGTGGCTGACAGCAGGTTTTGAAGGGTCAGCAACTTTACTTTTTAGGTTTCCGTAGGGAAATAGACAATAATCAGCTTTTTCAGAGTTGGAACACTTCCCGCCACGACCAGTGAGGAGAATCCAGGTTCGGGAAGGGGATTCGCTGACAATCGACTGCAAAGCTCCCAGAGGCATACCGCCACCGACTTTATTTTGGTTATACAGGTAAGAAGGGCGAGAATTTTGGGCTCAGTTTAGGGCACATCAGGAAATTTTGGGCAGGAGTGAAGAATTTTCTAAAGTACGACCTCTTTAATATTCGCTGAGACGAGGAGGCAAAGGGGAGGCAAATTTAAGTGTGGGAAGAACTTTCACCAGGTCGAATACTAACTGCCCTGCAAACTAAAATACAAGTCCATCGGGGTACTTACCCCCTCCCCCCAAACCCAAGATGCCCTCACGTTGATGTACCCTGGCCCATACGCTCATGCATGAGTCCGCGGCGGACCTCAGCAGATGCCATGAGGCAATCCCACCATTCTCATTGCCAAAGTGTGTAATTGAGTCCCGATGTGCATTACCAATGCTAATTCGATAAGACTCCA